AGAGAGAAGCTAGTCCTTGGTCTGCATCTGTCCTTGGACCCCAGGACCTACTAGAATGGGAGGAGCGGACCAATGGACCATCTGTTTCTCAGGGTCTCCATGAGGGGCCAGTGGCCAGCCTAGCATGAGTGATTTTCCTCTCCACCATCCTCCTTCCTAGGGTTATGGCCTGTTTGGGCACTGCATTGTCCTGTTCATCACTTATAACATCCACCTTCATGCCCTCTTCTACCTTTTCTGGCTGCTGCTGGGTGGGCTGTCCACCCTGCGCATGGTAAGCTGGGCAAGAGGTTTCTTGGGGTGGGCTGTCCTCCCAGGGAGATAGGGGAGACAGCCTGGAACTGTCCACCCTACAGAGGGCTCTAAGTGGGAGGGAAGGGCCCCCAAGATGGTTCAGTCCTGGGTGGGAATATCTTCTTCCCACTCCTCACTTTGGAACCAGGCTCTTTGAGCTGTATTCCTGTGGCCCTAGGTGGCAGTGTTGGTGTCTCGGACCGTGGGCCCTACACAGCGGCTTCTCCTCTGTGGCACCCTGGCTGCCCTGCACATGCTTTTCCTGCTTTATCTGCATTTTGCCTACCACAAGGTGGTAGAGGGTAAGTTGCAGGAAGACCTGAGTGAGGGAGAGAAAGACAACATCTGCTCAGGGCAGGGGCCTAGATGAAATGGCCTGTGGGTGAGGCCCAGCCAACTCTTGCTCATGTTCCATCTTCCTTTTTCCAGGGATCCTGGACACACTGGAGGGCCCCAACATCCCACCCATACAGAGAGTCCCCAGAGACATTCCTGCTGTGCTCCCTGCTGCTAGGCTTTCCTCCACCATGTTCAATGCCACGGCCAAGGCTGTTGCAGTGACCCTGCAGTCACGCTGACCCCTGAAATCCTTGGCCAGTCTGCTCTCCCCCAGCTGTGGAGTGGAGGAAGATTAAAGGACAGTACTGATGACGTGTGTTTCTTTGATGAGTTCTGCAGCTGCCACTCAGCTGTAGCTGCTTAAGAACCTCCTTGATGCCTGTCGGGGCTTCTGAAGGGCACAAGGCCAGGAACTCCTGGCCAGGACTACAAGGCTATGCAGCCAGTGCAGAAAGTGGGTCAGCTCCTATGAGGCCCCTTACCACCTACCCCTTCCTTTCTCTTTCTCTCTCCCACATTGTCTTGCTAAATATAGACTTGTAATTAAAATGGTGATTGAAGTCTGGAACTGCAGCTACCAGTCCAGTGGTCCTCCCTGTCACCCTCCTTCCTGTATACTTTCCTGGTCTGTCAGCAATGTTAATACCACATGTTCCCTTCTTTATCCCCTCACTTACGCAGTATGAAGATGGGACAGGCCAGACAACATAGAGGGCAGTGATTGAATATGGAACCTGCCCCTGAGGGGCATGGAGCAACAAGGAAGCCTCAAGCACAAGAGCCATAAGCCTGATGATGGAACAGTGTACTGAGTTTGAGTCTGTGCTCAGTTGCACTCCTGGGAAACCAATGGAGCAATGGCAATTGGACAAAAACTTCCAGACTTAAACCCCATATCATTACAAGGACCTTCTGCACCTGGGCCATGGTGGGGATAGTGTTCCTATGGAGTTCATATTTGAAGCCAAACTTAGCCTTACCCTGGTTGTACTGGGACCAGCTCCCTTCTACAGTTTTTCTCAGTCCCTACTCTCTCTTTTTTTTTTTTTTTTTTTTTGGAGACAGAACCTCAAGCTATCCCCCTGGGTAGAGAGCCATGGCTCACAGCAATCTCCCAACTCCTGGGCTCAACAGAGCCTCCTGCCTCTGCCTCCCAAGTAGCTGGGACCACAGGCGCCCGCCACAATGCCTGGCTATTTTTTCCTTGTTGCAGCCATCATTGTTTGGCGGGTCCAGGCTGGATTCGAACCCACCACCTTAAGTGTATGTGGCTGGCGCCTTAGCTCCTTGAGCCACATACACCCACAGGCACCGGCCAGTCCCTTCTTTCTTGAGTGCTGTTTTCTGTTAAAGACAATCCTCAACTCTTCTTTAATCTACTTAAAGAGTTAATTCAGGTGGTTAATAGAGGGAGGCCTTTGACTCCCTTCACTACACTTCGTATTTTTTTTTAATCCTCTCATTACTGATAAATCTGGGTCAGCAGCAGCTTTCCCTCCTAATAAAGGGACTGGCAGAAACAGGTGTCCTTCATTTTCCGTTTTCTCCAGCTGAGGCCCACACCACCTAGCCACTGGACAGTTCTAACAGCACTGCCTGCACTGTGCAGTGCGCCCCAGCCTGCTGTACGTGACCCTCACTGTCGCCCAGGGCCACTGATCTTAACATCCCTTACATTGACGATTCCAGTCTCTAGCGCAATGAGACTATCTTAGGGTATCAGCAGTGCTCTGCGCACTTGGGGAAAGGGTGACACCAGGACCCGGCATCCACCTGCCCTTAGGGACCTGCTGGGGTTCTCTTGTCACTGGGCCCTCAGGGTTGGCTCTGTCGCCCCCACAGCACCCTTTGACGCCGCCATCTTGGCGGGGAGCATATGGGGAAGTCCTCTCGGGCTGGAATCCCACGCATGCTGCGCCTTGCGTCACAGGAGCCGGGGCGCTGCATGGATTGTAGGCCCTAGGGACTTCCAAACTGGAGGGGGCAGTGCCTGGACCTCAGGAATAAGGAACGACGGGAGAATAGGAAAAAGAACCGGTAACAGTGCCACCTCCACGTGACGCGCCTCCATTCCCCCTTCACTCTCACTCTTTCTCAAGTCCTGTTTGGCCTAGGCCTCAGCCATGCTACTTTCTGCTTGCTGCGTGGCCCTGCATCCCGGGGCAGAGGGACCCCCAGCTCCGAGCTCTTTGCCCGGAATCACCTAGCGGTGTGAACCTCGTGGGCCAGCGTGGCCTAGGCCGAGCAGGGGGCGGGGCAAGCAGCGGTGACGCGGCCGTTGCCATGGGAACCCACCGCCGGCTCGGGCACAGGAGCTGAAGCCGGAGCAGCAGCCGGCCTCGGGTTCTCAGGGCGAGTCTCGCAGCCAGGCCCCCGGGACGGCAGAGAGAGCCGAGCGGGAGGCGGGGGGGCGGGTGCAGCCTCGAAGACGAAACCCCTGAGCAGCCTCAGCCGCCTCAACTGCGAGGGACAAGGACAAACGCGGAACAGTTCCCGCCCGGCACCCGGATTCCGCGCCCAGCCAGCCGCCCAGACGCGGACAGCACGGTCCATCCCCGCCCAAGCGCCGCTCGGTCTCAGCCCGGCCCACGACCTCTAAGCCTCTGTAGTCCGGGCCCGCTCCAGCGCCGCAGCCTCCGCCCCCGCTCCGCCTGTGACCCCAGCAAGGGCCTCGACCCCGACCCTCCTCGAGGCATCGCCACCCTCCGCCCCAGCCCCGGCCCTGGAGGTCCAGCCGCGGGCACGATGCTGCCCAGCTCCATCCAGATTTCGGGAGAACCTCTGTCAGGCGCCGAGGTGCGGGACATCTGCCGCGGCCTGCGCGACAACGCCGTGCGCCTGCTCTCCCTGCGCGGCTGCCGCCTCTGCGACCGCGACTTCGGCCGCATCTGCCGGGCCCTGGCTGGGGCCACGTCCCTGGCGCAGCTCAACCTTAATCTGGGCGTCGTGTCCAGCCCCAGCCGCATCAAGCAGCTGGCGGAAGCGCTGCGGACCAACCGCTCCATCCAGTCCCTCTTGTGAGTGCGCTCCCTCGCAAGAGGGTCCCGGACACACTGCACCCTTCCACGCACTCCCCCTGCCATCTCCTGCTCCACATCTTCCAGTACTATCTTTCCACCAGCCGCCCTTCGCAACCCTCACACACTTCATCCCTCTGCCAGTCTCCACAGCAGCCTCATCTCCAGTCTTTCCACACGACCCCGCCCCAAATGGGATGTACCCCTCTTTCTGTCAGGGCATGTAGTGCCGCCCGGTCTCATCACCCCCCTGTGCTTCGCTGGGGCAGCGTCTCTATTCCCAAGAGGGAATAGCTCTGTGATAACTAGAGCTCTGCCCCTACATTTTGCCCACAGAATTCCAGTCCACCCACATACACCTTCTCTGCCCCTCCCTGTACAATGTCCTGGATCTGAGTCCCTGCCCCAGAAAAGAAATCAAATTCCCCTTCTACCTGTATTTCCTTAGAATCTAGAATGTTTTCTCCCTTCTCTTGCCTCTCAAGTGCTGTGACTGTGTGCCCTCTCCACCCCTAAGAGTACATAAATGAAGGTACCCCTACCCCATACAGATAGGGCTGATAACTGCAGTAACTCTGCTCTCTTGCCTCACCCCGCTAGCCTGCATGGGAGCCCCTTGACAGATGCTGGGCTGGCCTTGCTGAACCCAGCCCTGGCACTCCATCCTGCCCTTGTGGCTCTGGACCTGGGGGACTGCATGCTGGGCGACGAAGCCATCAACCTCATCTGTGGCCTCCTCCCCCCAGACGGGGCCAAATCTGGTGAGCAGGAACCTGCTGAGGGCATGGGCTGGTGTGGCCTGGATGAAAAGTTAAGTGCAGAGGGAAGGGGGCGTGGCCCAGAGCTGAGCTTGGAGGGTGTGGATGAGAATGTCTTTTTTTACTCCTTTCAGGAAGAAGGATAGGGGAGGCAGGGGGAGCTGAGCAGGATGGAGACTCAGGAATCAGGCGGGGACAGGCAGGGAAGGCATGGGTCATCTTTATTGGCTCCAAAGCTCTCTGTAGGTGAAAAATGGAGTAACTTCCAACCACTAGAGATATCCCAGAGACATGGGGACAGCAGGGAAGGGGTTTGAGGAGGTTCTAACCCTCCCCATTCTGGCTTCTCTCTGTGCTACTGCCCAGGCTTGAAGGAGCTAACACTGAGTGCCAACCCTGGCATAACCCCTAAGGGCTGGAGCCGCCTTGCCATCGCTGTGGCCCACAGCTCCCAGGTCCGCGTCCTCAATCTGGACTACAATCCCCTGGGTGAGGCTCAAGAATGCCCCTTGGATTTTCACTGCCCCATGCCCTGTCCAAGAGCCTGGGACTATCAGTTGCCATGGTAACCCCCATGCTGGGAAAGAGAAGAGGAAGGAGAGCCCCCAGGGTCTAGGAGGTGGTAAAGAAGCCATCCTGTGTAGAGGACCACATGACCAACAGGTAGATCAAAGCATCAGTCATGACCCCTTGACCTGACTTGCTTCATCCCTTCAGTCCCACCAATCACAATGCTCCCTTCCTGGCCACAGCAGTGCAATTGCCAATAGCATTTCTTCAACAGAAGATGGGAGTTAATGTTACTAGTGTAATGGGAAGCTGTTCAGGAGGAAGGGTTAGCTGGCCTTTGAGAACACAGGTGAATGTGTGTGTGTGTGTGTGCTACCTCTCCAGGTGACCATGTGGCAGGGATGTTGGCTGTAGCTGTGGCCTCCAGCCGTACCCTAGAAGTCCTAGACTTGGAGGGCACAGGGCTCACCAACCAGTCAGCTCAGGTGAGAAGACATCATGATCTGGGACAAGCCAGGGAATAAGGTGGAGGTTAGCCTGTGTGTCTATGGACATACCTGAGGGGTGGCAGGTTTGGGTCTGAGATCCTGCCTTAATGATGCTTATCCTTTTTCATACTCTTCCCTACCTCAGACTCTGCTGGACATGGTAGAAAATTACCCCACAGCTTTGCGGAGCCTGGTGTTGTCTGAGAACAGCATCAGCCCAGAGCTGCAGCAGCAGATCTGTGACCTTCTCTCTGAGGGGGAGGAGGAGGAGGAGGTCACAGGAGGGGCTGGCGACACCCAAGAATGGGAGAGAGGCAGGGAGCCTAGTACTCACCAGAGGGGCAGTAGCTCCTGGATGTGCCCTAGTGGTAAGAACCTGGAGGGTTGATCAGAGCCAGATCTGGAAGAGGCTTGGGACAAGGGAGAATGGGTGTGGAAAATCTAGCCCCTCTCTCACCTATTTGTGGTCTCCAAGGGAGAAATAAATAGTGGTCTTAACATCCCTTGCCCTTCCACAGATCCCAGTTCTCAGATGGTGCTAATGACATCAGGACTAGGGGACAGTCTGTTGGCTGAGACCGAGATGTGACTCTCCACTTGGGCTTCTGCACATCATTACATCTATGTTCGCAGCACCTCACCCAAGATATCAGGGTCAGGCCCTGGACCTTGGGAAGCAGCAGGGCAGAGTTGCCTGCAGCTCTGGAAGCCCCTGGCAGCATGATGGGGAAGGAAGCTTTGGAAGCTGTGACTGGGCAACAGCCTTGGGGGGCCCCGAACTCAAGGCAATGCCTCTGGACTTGCTGGCAGCTCTAGCTGCAACCCACTGGCTCGGAAGATATTTTATGAATTCCACAACTTGGTGTGTGGCTGTCGTCACTGGGGCTGGCAGGAGGGGAAGAATTGGAACTACCGCTAAGCACCACTAGAGGGCATTACCAACCCAGGCGTAGTCTAAGCTCTAAGCTGCTTGAACTGGTCCAGTCTCTCAGAACAGGCCTGACACAAGTCTGGGGCAGAAAGATGGTTAACTAAGGAGTTCACCTCCAGAGCTGGGCTGGACCAGACCCTCCCTTCAACGGGAGACTGAGAGGCCCTGCTAAGTTTATTTAGGTGCTCCCTCTCCCACTGCTTGCCTGATAATCAGTGCCCAAGGCTGAGTGGGGCAAGGGAGGGTCACTAATTTAAGACTAGGGCTGGGAATACTCAGGAATGGGAGAGGGAAGGCCATTAAGACAAATCAGGCCATACCAGTAAAATAGTTTTATTTGATTTTAAAATAGCCATCAATGTGAAAATTTCCCAAAGCTGGGAGTAACAGTCTAGAGCCAAGGGTGGGAGGGGAACCAGGCCACTTTGAGGCCCCAAAGCCTACCCTCCCTTCCAGAGGGAGAAACAGCTAAAGGGAGCCCTGAGTCAGTCCTCTCCATTATCCCCAAGGACCAGCTGTGCCAGGCCCCTTGTGGGCAACAGCTTGTACAAGAGGATTTAGGGAAGAGAGGGAAACAGGCAGAAAACAGGGGTTAGAGGTTAATAATCCCAATAAGATCTAACCTCCCACCCCCTTCCCCCCAAAAACCTCATGACTATGAGAGGAAGATGAATACTGATAAAAACCCCTCAGCTCCCCAGAACAGCCTGATCTGGGCTACACTGTTTGGAAGAAAGGCTTGAGACCCAACTGCATGTTTACCTTTGGAGAATAAATATTCCAAGAAAAGGGAAAAACCATGTCATACTGTTGCCAGTCACAGCCAACATAGCTGGAAAGCCTGGCACGGCCCACCTCCTGACCTAACCCACACAGGAACAGAGCTGTGTAATGTGCAAGCCTGGGGAGGGGAGAGTTTGAGGGCTCAGGCTAGGGACCCTGAGTTTACAAGGGTTTGGGGCCTCCTTGCAGACCCAGTGCAGCAGCAGTGGCAGGAAGGCAAGTGGGGACCCTAGTTGAGCAGGTTGCCCTGCTCCTGGGCCTGAGTCAGGCTGTCCTTGCGGTGCAGGTGGTGTACCCCCATTCTCTTGGGGCTACGCTGGGGGCGGCTGGAGCTAGGGAGTGGCCAGACCCTGCCCTCAGTGTGGGAAGTGCTAGGCCCCTCCTCTGTGCCACTATCACTGGGCAACAAGCTCTGGCACTCTTCCTCAGGGCTGATGGGCAGGTTCAGCTCTTCCTCCTCCTCCTCCCCCCTGGGAAAGCCAGAGTCAGGTTCTGTTGGTAGCAAAAGCCCACTCTCATCGGCTGTGGAAGGTTCCTGAACCACCTCATCTCTGTCAGTGGGGTTAAGAGCAAAATGGCAGTGCAGTTCAGGGAGTGCATCACGTCCAAAGGCTGTGCGCTGGGCCACAGCGGCAGGTGGTGGAGCACGGTCCACAAATGCTCGCTGCCAACTGGCCAGCAGGTCCTCTTCAGAGCTGGCAGAGCTGGCTGGGGCACTGAGTGTCGGAGGGGCAGGGCTGGGCCGGTGGTGGGGTGATGCCTGGGCTGAGGAAGGGCCACTGGGCACTGGGCTGGGGCGGGCCCGCTCACTCCCCTCCTCCACCAGGCTCAGTGAAATGGCCTGGCGAGTAGCATAAGTACAGTTGGGTAGGGGACTGTTGCGGGGGATCCGAACCTTATCCTCAGAGAACTCTATTACCCTGCGGCCAGGATATAGTGGATGTGGTGGAGATGGGGTGGGGTAGGGGCTCAGCTTCTCAAAGGCTGGCAGGGGCAACTCCTCCTCTGGGGAGTCCCCTGCAGTACCCAGAGAGTGGCAGTCCCCATTGGGTTGGGGGGTGGGGCTACCAGGGGCCAGGGGACTGGCTGGATCACCTGTAGCACCCCCACTCATGTCCACGTGCACGAAGACATCTTCAGCCAAGGGGCGCCCAGCACTGCCTGACTGTGCTGAATTGAGCAGCAAAGACTCTGGCTTCTCCAACACCCGGGCAATGACTGAAGTAGGCACCACAGACCCTGGGGCCAGGCTGAGAGCAGGGCCTGGGCTGATAGTCTCTTCACCATTGTGCAAATGTTTCCGAACCATGTCCTGTAGCTCACAGGGTAGCTGAGATGAAGGAACAGAAGAGAAGAGAGATACAAATGATTTCAGCTGAAGATAGCCTGATTCATGGCAAAAATAATGGCTACTATGTGCAGATATCACTGTGTTCTTGTAGCATACAATGTCATCTCACAGATAAATAAGCTTGATGGGGATAAAATAACTTGAAGCTTTTATTTTTTTGAGACAGAATCTCACTATGTCGCCCTTGGTAGAGTGCCGTCGCATCACAGCTTACAGCAACCTCATGATTCTCTTGCCACAGCCTGCCAAGTAACTGGACTACCGGCGCCCACCACAACACCCAGCTATTTTCTTGTTGCAGTTGTTTTAGCTGGCCCAGGCCAGGTTCAAACCCACCACCCTTGGTGTATGTGGCTGGCATCGTAACTACTGTGCTACAGGCGCCAAGCCTAACTTAAAGCTTTTGATTAACTCAGCCAGGATTTGAACCCAGACCTGCTACTGCTGCAACCTGTGTGCTCTGAAGCTTCTACTTCCCCCACCTCAGCAGTGTTTCTGCCCAAACCAGACTTAAGTCTCGAGAATCCCAACTGACTAGTGACCCTTACTCCTATAGACTGCATCAACATTGGGCCTGAGGCTCTGGGGCTTACAATTTGCCCCTTAAGGGAACAGAATCAGATGGCCATAATCCTCTCTCAATTATGCTTGCTGTCATATTGAGAGAGGATATCCCTCTTTAGGACATTCCTGCATAGGGTCCTAAAATCAAGTCCCTCTTTCCCTGTCTCTTACAGAAACATCAACAGAGTTAGCCTCCTAGTACTAGCAATGAGCCTTTGATAGCACATAGGACACCAGCCAGGGCAGAGATGACTGGCTTAAGAGGCAACATGGAAGCAAGAGGAAGGCAAAGTGGAAAAGGAGAGTTAAAGGTAGGAGGATGAAGAAAGGCCCTAAACTGGAGTTAGAGGAGTCCTAAAATCACTGGAATAGTGGAGGGTGGGGAGGGTACATTCTACTCACATCGGCAAACTTGTGGTTACGGAAGTGGGACTTGTTGCACTTGAGGAGCTGCACAGCCAGGTTGCAGTCCAGCCGGTACCGCTCCTATAGATATGACTTAGTTCAGAGCCCAGTTTGGCCCTGCCCAAGGAGCAGGGTGGGGTCAGAACAAAGCCAGCCAAGGAAGGCCCAAGCAGGTGGAACGTGCACATACATTGAGTTCCTCCAGCTTGTTGATCGTGTTCTTGGCATCCAGCAGCTTGTTGGTCAGCTCCACGATCTCCCAGTCTAGTGTCTTCCTATCCATCTCAGCCTTCTTGATCTGAGGCACAGACTTGTAGGTAAACCCAGTCCATACCCAACCAGCCCTTCCTCCCCTGCCTCCTCCCAACCCAGAGACACAGGAGGCCACAGTTGCTAGGGCAGCCAAGGCGGACAGACCAGAGACAATGACGGACAGACAGAAGGAGACCAGGCACTTCTCCTGCACTCTGGGCTGGCTGTGGAAGGAGGGGGAATGTTTTCTGACCATGACCTCCTGCCGTCTGAGCCCAGTACAAAAGCAGTATGCTGCCCATTCCTTCAGGGGGTGCCAGGGGCACTAGGCACCAGGCAAGGCAACTGGGTAACTCAGAGGCAATAACTACAAACCAGGGGGTTGAAGCACATGTGCGGCTATTTCCAGGATCAAGCTAGGAAGAGGGAGAAGGGAACGGGGCTGGGTGGCAGCCAAGGGCACCTGTGAGGTTATCTAGTTGAGCAGGGAGGGAGCTGCAGTTTCCAAAGTAGCCTTCTGATCTTCAGCTCAGGAACTGGATCTGTTCAGCCTCCCCTCCCTGCACATAACTTGGGCTTGCTGCCACAGCAGCTGAGAAGCTGTGAGCGTTCACTAGTAACATCAATCAGTACCTCTGCCAGAGCTAAGGGCAGGCCAGGCTCCCCAGCTCTGGTCCAAGAAGGAGGCACTGACTACTAAATGGGCCTTACACAGGGAAAAGGAAAGGAACGGGTGTGATCAGGTGTACTCGAAGGGCAGGGAGAATTTGCCAGGGCCCCACAATCCCAGATCTCAGCCGAGGAGGAGGCCAGGACAAAGGAGAAAACACACAAACTCAGACGCAACTGCAAAAATCCAGCTGTGGCTAAGAGAGGCCTGAGAGGAGAGTGCAGCAGCAACGGTGGCAGCATGAGGGGGAAGACGAGGAGAAAAGAGAAACAGTGTGAGCATTAAGACAGTCCTGACTTACACAGCACACTGCGGTCCCCTCCCTCCCACTCTCCCCTCCTCCCACCTCCTCCCCAAGCCCCTGGACAGAATGGCATTCCCTTGGCAAGACCTAGCTATGCTATGAGCACAATGCCAGCCAAACTGCCCTTCTGGACAGATTACCAGCGTGTGCAGCTTGTCCTCCAGTTCTTGGTTGGTCCTCTGGGAAGCCGTGTAGCTGTTCTGCAGCCTGGAGAGGGATAAAAGGCAGGCCCCAGAGTCAAGATGCTCTTCTTTAGGCCCTGCTCAGCCCCTCCTCAATATGGGATCATGGGCAAGTTATTTTCTTCTCTCCAAGAACTTCAGTTTTCTAACCAGAATCAGATGACTTCTGAGGCCTCTTCTAGGTAATGAATGGAGGAGTGTATATGCGTGTGTGTCTGTGTGTGTGGCTGGCCCCTCATTCCCGCACCTGCGAAACTTGTCCTTAAACTTGTCCAATTCCTCACGGCTCTGGCCCAGCTCCAGCTCCAGGCAGTCCTGCCCGATTTCTAGTTCACGCTCCAGAGCTTCAGTACGTCTGGTGGCTGAGGCCAAGCGCCGGCGAAGTTCTTCATTCTCCTGTTGTAAGAGCCTGGTGAGAGTGGGGAGTCAAGGGCAAAAGGTCATCAAAGAAGGGCCAGCCCTGGAGCTCCAGGCTGGGCTTAGGAAGGAAGGAGTAGGGATGGCACGAAGGCAGGCAACCAGGGTCAGGGAGATTCTTAGAGATGCACCCTGAGTGCAGTGTATTCCATAGGCCTGCAGGCCCTAAGAACGCAACCTGCGTTGGAAGGCCGGGGGAGGCAAAGAGGATGGTAGGGAAAAGTCAACCTCTCCCCACTATTGAGAATGATAGGACAGAATTGGGGGGCAATAGCTCTCAGTGTCTCTCTGGTTACAGCCAAGCCAGCTGGCCACCAAGCCCCCCAGCTCCAGTTTCCTCACTGCACAATCAGGTTTCTCCATTATTAATCTCCTGGAAATCCAGCCCAGCACTGCCCTCCTCTCCAGAAGCCTCATGTGGCTAACAGAAAGGGCTTCAGAGGGTTTCTCTAGAGCCAGGAGCTAGGGAAGGGGTCCTTGGCAAGAGCAGGGCCCTCAGAGTCACGTACCTCCTGATTCCATACTGTCTTAAAGCCCATGAAACAAACCCCCCCCCCCTTTTTTTTTTGAGACAGAGCCTCAAGCTGTCCCCCTGGGTAGAGTGCCGTGGCATTACAGCTCACAGTAACCTCCAACTCCTGGGCTCAAGCGAGTCTCCTGCCTCCGCCTCCCAAGTAGCTGGCACCACAGGCGCCTGCCACAATGCCTGGGTATTTTTTGGTTGCAGCCGTCATCATTGTTGTTTGGCGGGTCCGGGCTGGGGATTTAAACCCGCCACCTTAGGTGTATGTGGCTGGCGCCTTAGCCGGTTGAGCTATAGGCACCGAGCCACAAAACCCCTTTTTCCAAAAAGAATATCTACAACATTATACCTCTTCCTAGAATTCCTAAAATAACCCAATCCAACCTTTACCTCTACCTAATCCAAGAAAAATTCCAATTGTACCAACAGCCTAGTTTGGAGCTAAGAGGAACAAAGTTGAGGCAAGCAAAGTTGAGGCAGATACTCACTTCATTCTTTCCGTGTCAGTCAGGGGCTCCTAAACAAAAAAGAACAGAAGCTTGAAGCTCAGCTCTGGACAACTGCCCTCTTGGTTGGCTAACCCTCCAACAGCCATGGTAAGGCCCACATCTGAAGCCCAAAGACTCTCTCTCTCATAGCATTAAGAGAGTTGGAGGGCTCTTTGGTGATGGAAGCAATCTAGTAATACCCAGACAAGCCTAGATTATCCTCTCCTATGCCAATTGGAAGATTCGAGAACCCCTGGTAACGTTCACCCTTAATCCTAAAGCCATTTTCAAACAGGTTCAGGCATCGTACTACTTCTCCCTAGGGATAAAAAAAGCCTCCTAGCTGTTCAGTTCTTCATGGGTTCTTCATGGGCTGTCTCCACACAGAATTTACAGAGAAGTCAAACTGAGCCACAGAAAAGTTCCGAGCCCTGACAAAGCCCTCTCAGCCCCCTGGGGGTAATACAAAGGCTGAATCCAGATCTTACAGAGGCTCAGGAGGAATGACTACATAGGTGAAGGAGAGCCTCTGAACTAATCCTAATTTAGGAGAGTGAAATAGTAAAGCTTTTAACCTCTTGCCCCATCTTCCCCAAACCTGTATGATATTTATGGCCCAAGAGTCAGAACTCAGTCAACCACAGGGAAGAACAGGCATATGCTGAGTATGGCAAGAGGTACGTGTAAGAGCCTACTCCATATGTAGCTGATCGCATCAGAACTAGAGTCATGGGCAGGAAAACGAGTATGTGGCCCAGATCATGGACTTTGGAGCCACTGGCAACTGGATTTGTTCTATCACATACTGGTTATATGACCTTACTTCACTGAGCCTTATGTCTCTCATCTGCAAAACCAGGTGAATGCTCACTGAGTAGGATGAAAGGTAATAGCTGGCATTTTTATTTAACGTTCCCTGAAGTGGGCAAGTCATGGCATTTTTGCCCTGAATCTGACCAAAGTGGGCCACAGTATGCCTGACACTTGGCATCTGTTGACCATCTCTCAAGTTTATTAAATGTGTGCCATGCACTGCGGGTGGAGACAAGGCAGCAAGGGTGGGGGGCAAACCTCTGCAGTACATTTCCTCCTAAGAGTGAGCTTATGAGGGAGGAGAGCCAATGTGGAATATGTTTTGTCGTTGACTGTAGGCCTCCCAAGAGCATAGCCTAGACCTAACCTCCCTGGCAGGGAGAACTTATTTAATAAATTTCAACCAAATAAAGCCAACCTGGAGGGAGAACAGGACAAATAAGAGCAGCCGGGCCAGGGGGAAGCACCTGAAGCACTGCCTCCTAGTAGCCTCCAGAGAGACCACGGGTTGAAAGGCTCTCCTTCCCTACAGAGGACCAGAGTCCAGTCCCCAAGCAGGTTAGGACCCCTTGGTCCAGTGGGCTGCCTCTTGCAGGGAGAACAATACTGTATAGGATCACTTTTGCTAAGCTGCAGAGACTCTAGGGTTCCCTAACCCATGGACATATACTTACAGTTGTTCCCCTACATGGCACCCACCAGTGCTGTGACAGCTACTGGAACCCAAACTTATACCAGCAAAGTCACACTCACTCACTCCCATGCATGGGACCAGAAGCTCAGGCGGAAGTCAGCCAGATACCCAGCCTTGGGGCCCTGCTTCTGCCAGCCAGGGTAAGGGTACCAGTCTTGCTGACCTCCTGCTCCAGCCTGGATCCAGAAATTTCCAGCCTCAGCTCCCGATGTTCTGGTGGTGCCTTACGGTAGGGTTTCTTAGCAGGGGCTGCACTTGTCATTCTGGGAGGTGAGGGTTCTTCCACCTGCCAAGCAGAAGCAAAGAAGGAAGAGGCTTGGAGATGTGCTCAAGAGGCCCCTGGACTGAGAAAAAAAATGGCAAAAGGGGATATATGTAAGAGCCACTGCATAGGCAGGCAGGCAGGCAGGCAGGCAGGCAGGCCTGGGCTATGGCTGGGTTCATGAGAAGGGCTGGACTTTGGTGTGTCAGTCCTCATGAGGCAGGGGAAGACAGCATAGGGGGTATGGGCCCAGTAGGGAACAGCAGAGCCTACGGCCTGGGTACCAGAAAGAGTGGACTTCCTCTAAGAGTGGAGGGGGGAGTCTAAAAAGCAGTGTGCCACTCTCCTTTGTGGACTCAGAAGGCCGTGGAAGGAAAAACTGCTCTTTACGTATCAGTTTTCTCAACTCTAAACGGGGATAAGTATAGGATCAATTTCACAAGGTTGTTGTGACAATTATGTAAAGTACTTAGGAAATGTTCGATCAATTTTAGCTTAAAAAAAAAATCATGGCCAGGCACAGTGGCTCACGCCTATAACCCTAGCACTCTGAGAGGCCAAGGAGGGCGGATTGCCTAAGCTCACAAGTTCGAGACCAGCCCCAGCAAGAGCGAGACCTCATCTCTAAAAATAGCTGGGCATTGTGGTGGGCACCTGTAGTCCCAGCTACTTGGGAGGCTGAGGCAAGAGAAATTGCTTGAGCCCAAGAGTATGAAGTTGCTGTGAGCTGGGATGCCATGGTACTCTACCAAAAGTGACAAAGTGAGATTCCATCTCTAAAAAAATAATCATAACACCAAAATAAGGGCTTGAGAATGTTCACCTAACCCAGGCTCCTTAGTGGAAGTTTCTAAGCTCAAGAGAGTTCTGTGGCCATAGCCACCGATGGTCAAGCCCCTCTGGCCTTCACCACTCTCTTTTCACCAGCTCCCACCAACAGAGGACACTTGTCTGCCTCCTTACCTGCCAGCCTCCCCAGAAGAGAGCCAAGTAGGGGTACAGGCCTCATCAGAAACATACCGTCTGTTTGTCAGCAGCTCTCTCTGTTCCGCTCTCTGGGAGTTAGCCCTTGGCTCTCTGCATCCCACAGCCCCTCCACTTCCTCCAGCCAACAGCTCCTGAAACCAGAGAAGGGAAGAAAGTGGAAACCAGGTGTCAGCCACCTGTCTGTCAGTGCCACAGGCCTGCCTGCCCAGTCTGGGACCTGGAAGTCCCTTCAGGGGAAAGCCAGGCAAGAAGGCCAAGGAGACTGAGGGGAAAGTGGTAGAAGCAGGAGAAAACTGAAAGCACTGGGTCCCTGCCTTTCTCCATGACAGCATTGTTGGAGGCCCAGAGGAGACACAAATGTGTCTGTGCATGTGTTCATAGTCTCAGCTTACCACATGTCCAAGTCTAGAATAGGTCTGGTTCTGTCCTATCCCTGCCCACATCTGTCCTGTTCATCTCTCAGGGATTTCAGAGTCTGGAAACAACCAAGAGATCTGGGGAACATGATTTACAAATGAAAACACCAGGAAAAAAATAGTAGAAATACAACAAGATGGGGAGAGAAGATGCTAGAAAGAGAGCAGCTAACACTGTTTCCAGAAGGAGCTCAGAGACTACTTCTGTGTACAATAGTAGCCAACAGGCTCGGCGCCTGTGGCTCAAGTGGCTAAGGCGCCAGCCACATACACCTAAGGTGGAGGGTTCGAATCCCCAGCCCGGGCCCGCCAAACAACGATGGCTGCAACCAAAAAATGGCCAGGCGCTGTGGCAGGTGCCTGTAGTCTCAGCTACTTGGGAGGCTGAGGCAGGAGACTCGCTTGAGCCCAGGAGTTGGAGGTTGCTGTGAGCGTGATGCCATGGCACTCTACCCAGGGGGACAGCTTGAGACTCTGTCTCAAAAAAAAAAAAAATAGTAGCCAACAAACTTTGCAATGAGGAGAAGGTCTAGGAAAAAAAATCTGAAAAGGCAACAGTTTAGAGCACTGATTCTCAACCAGGGCAGTTTTGCCTACTTCCTTCCCCCAGGGACATCTAACAAAGGTCTAGAGATATTTTTGGTTGTCAGATCATAGAGGAGAGGTGTCACCACCATCTAGAGCAGTGGTTCTCAACCTTCCTAATGCCACGAACCTTTAATACAGTACAAAGGGGTCGCAACCCCTTTGTTGAAAATTGCTGATCTAAAGGGTAGAGACCAGGTATGCTGTTAGTCATCCTACAACAGAGAGGACAGCTCTCACCACAGAGAATTATCAGCACAAAATGTCAACAGTGCAAGGCTGAAAAACATGTGTACGGAAAACCCAAGTCTGGGGAGCTAAGACAGCTGGCTTCCAGGCTCAATGCTGCTTCGGACACACGTGGGGCCCTAAGGAGCTCCCCTCCTACTGGAGAATGCTGTTCCTCATCTATACAGAGGTGGCTGAACTGAGTGACCTGTGAGTCCTCTCCAGGTTCCTGGGGTTCCAAGATCAGCCCCCACCTGTAATAAGCTGGGCTACAGCAAGGGGGCAGCAGCCACCATGGTGATGAGTGAAAGCAGCAACCTCAGGTGGCCTTCTGGGCATAAAAAAACAATCTCTTCCCACCCCCATCTACCTACAGAGAGGTGGAGGCTGAGGGAAGCCTTGCGGGCTAAAGCATGTGCTCCTACTGTCAGGACATGCTCTGGCCATGACTCCTGTCACATTCCAACAGGACCTGGGGCAGGAAAAGTGGTGGTGGTGGGGGGAGGCAGGAGTGGTCTCCCTCCTGGGTCTGGGCAGCCTGGTCCCTGGTTTGGGGTTCTGGGGGGAAGCTGGGGTGTGGCAATAAAAGCCTTGAGCCAAGAGCCACCAGCCCCTGCCCCTTTGATGGGAGGTAAAACGTGTCCCCACAGGGTACAAGCAGCATGCTGTGTGGGGCTAACTCCCTGAGTAGGAATCCGGGCGGGGCTGAAAGAACAGCACATTCCTGGGGTTTAGGGGAACAAGTAAGTCACCTCTCAGGTTCCCTGGGGCTGCCCATCCAGATGGCCCCAGGGTGGGGGCTCCTCTGGCATGAGAGGCCCAGAAAGTCCTGAACCTGCTTGTGTTCCTGGGTTCTGATACTCAAGAGGGTATATGTGGGGTGTGCATATGAGCTGGAAACAGAGTAGAGCTGGAGACACAGGAAGGTGGATAAGGGAAGTCAAGAGCTTCCACAAACTCAAAATCAAGAAGCAGCTCCAGACAGCAGGACTCTGGTTCTCCCCTTCTCTAGAGAGTAAAGCCAGGTCCTTGCTCCCTTCTCTCATTTGCCCCCAGGTCAGCTGAGTAACCCCTTTTCTCTCTGCAGGCCCCTTCCTCTGAGCCTCTTCCTTATGCCTCTATCCCTATTCCTGCCAAGGCCCATGCCGTCCTCTAGGTACAGGACACATGTATGAGCGGTGGGCAGGCAGGGAGAACACTGGCATGCTCAGGTATCTGGTAATTCTACCTGTAAGGAGAGCTGCTTATTTCAGGCCCCACAGCCCTCATTCTAGCTGCCACACATCCTATAGTTCATTCTGCCTGGCCCTAACCTTACATATATATTTATTCCCAGGGCTTCCATGGCCAGAGATAATCTGGCTTGCTGAGCAAAGGGGACGATGTGGATGTGGCTGGCAGTGTGATGGGTAGTAAATGTAGATGCAGACTCTCTGGGCATGGGGGTGACAGAGGTTATTCTCCCACAGCCAGAGCCTACTCTTTCAAATGCATCAGAGTCACAGGGCAGGGAAATAACTCCCATCTAGGACAGCAGAGGCAATGTCCAATGGGTGGCTTCTGCAGTGTTCCCCAACACCAGTCTGTGAAGGACATCTGTGCCTCATGTCCATACATACCAGGGTATGTGGGGACATCCAGGCCCTAGCTCCAATTTCTGAAGTCTGCTAAATGCCAGAGATCTAGCCCGTGAGGGGCCTGCAATTCCAGCACTGAACTGGATCATGAGGGGCCTGGCAGCCCACTGTCCTTGACTAGAAACACTGCAGGGAAGAACAGACTTATCTTATCCAGAGCAATGCCAGGTACAGTGGACAACAAAGCAAGAAGTAGCTGGACACTTGTGCCCACAAGCTAGAAGACGAGAGGGGTGAGCTAGAAGGCACCAGAGCAATCCTAGGTAGACTTAGCTACCACATGTGGCTTCCCTTGGCTGTATCTCCCTGACACAAAGGTTTCCCAAGGTGCCTTGAAATATTTCAGCCCAAAGAGGCTCCCAAATAAAGCAGCTGAGCAACAGAGAAGGGGCCATGAAAAAGCAGCAGAGAAGGACAGCCTTGGTGGCCTCTTAGCCTCTGATGCTGAGCCAGCTCCAGGCACCTCCAAGAAAATGGACTTCTGGAGGACCAAAGGAAATCAATAGGGAAGGCTTCCACTCCTGGTCCCACCCCAAACTACTGAGATTTAAGAAAATGGGAGCAGATGATTTGGGATGAGGGACCACCAGATCATGTGCTGGGTCCATACTACAAGAACAGCTGTACCCTGGGAGAAAGGCTGAGGCCTAGGTTAGAGCCTCTGGCTGAGCCAACCTGGCCCAGAACAGCAGTCAGTGTTGAGGGAGAAACTCAGGGCAGCAGCAGCCCCTTCCCTATCCCATGAAGGTGAAGTGAAGTAGGAAAGGAGCTCCCCTCCCAGCCCCTACCCTGCCCCACCCTTCTAACCCCACCCCCTTCCTCTTCTACATAACATTCATTCTTTACTTATTCAAGATCAGTTCAGAAAAGAGACTCAATCTCATATCTAATGGGGTGGGGATGGGGGTGTGATAGCTTTCTAATTGCCATGTTGCAATCTGCCAGTCAGTGCAGGGCGCCTGTTGCCGCCTGCCCTGTATTAAATACCTTCTCCCTGATTACAGCCCATAGGGCACGATTAGCCTTCAGAGAACAAAGTCTACTTTCATTGATATGGGACTCAGCATGCACAGTGAAGCTATACTGTGAACCCAATGAACAGCTGAGCACAGTGTGGACAGAGACAGATGTAAGGCACAGTCTACACCAGAAGTTGGGTGAGAAGTGTCCTTTAATGAAAGGACAAAAGATTTGCCAAGCATCACTCTTTAACCAGGAGATGAGACTTATACCTGCTCCCTTCTGTAAGTATGTGTTATTTCACCAGGGGCTTCCACAATGTTCAGAAACTGCTGCTGCTGGAGATAATGAGATAAGAGAGAAACCTCTTCAGAATCACCATTCTTCCAAAGCCACTATCCTTACTAGTACTCCCATCAAATACCCACGGGGGCAACAGCAAAAAAGCTCAAGTCCAGGAGCCAAGGATGCCCTTGCACTTCTTTCTGCCTTCCTTTTTTTTTTTGAGACAGAGCCTCAAGCTGGGTAGAGTGCTGTGACATCGCAGCTCACAGCAACCTCCAACTCCTGAGCTCAAGCGAGTCTCCTGCCTCAGCCTCCCAAGTAGCTGGAACCACAGGCACCCGTCCCAACGGCTATTTTTTTTTTGGTTGCAGCCATCGTTGTTTGGCGGGCCCGGGCTGGATTCGAACCTGCCACCTTAGGTGTATGTGGCTGGCGTCTAAGCCACTTGAGCCACTGGCACCAAGCCTCTGCCTTTGTTTTTGAGGGTCAGCCCAAGCACCAGGCAAAGTCAACAGCATAGGAGAGGAAGGGAGGTATATGCACCCAGATTTCTCCCTGCTGAAGACTAAGAGGCCACCCCTCAACACTGGCCCAGGAGAGGGAGGACTGAATCCAAAGTACACTGTGGTTGGCTTTTACAACTCCAGCCTCCCCTACCAGATGTCTCCTCCAGTTCTTCAAGTTCTGCACTACCTCACTCCATATCTCCACTGACCTAGAGAGATAGATTGTTTCCCTATTGCCCCATCACCAACACCCCTTACAGAAATTATGGCCCCAACAGTTTATCTGGGCTCAGATCATTCCCGAACCTACTGATAAAACTTTCTGCCCACAGTTGTCAACGAATCAAAGAAGTAACGGACCTTGAGGGGTCAATGAGCCCAAGCTTCTGAATCAGAAAGAGCCCACACATCACCATGAAAATCATGAAAGCTCTTCCCAATTCGCCCAACACAAATTAAATGGAAGTTAGTAATCACTACTGCTTTTAAAATGAGAAGAAAATCCAACCCTATT